ACCAAGAGACTTACATTTAGAGGAGATGCACCCTTATCAACAAATGCATCAGGAGAACTTCAGCGCTTTCAAAGAAGAACCGATTTGCTTCAATACATCAGTATAGGTGACAAGACTTCGGTGTCAGGATATGACATGTAAAAAAACAAATAGTCCGAATATCGCTTCAAGGGCTGGATTGGATCGAAGAAAAGTCTACAGAAGATCTTGGTCAGCAACCGAGCATTTGCTTTCCCCTGGGGGTGATGGTATAGTTGTGCATTCTAAATGTATGTCAGAGGGTACTACCTTTGTGAAAAATATAGCTGAAACGTTTTGAAGAGATCACTTCATGCTTTTCGTCAGGACAATCTTGAACTCTTGTTCTGCTCGTATCGAGTTGCTTGCAGAAAAACTAAACGCTTTTGTTACCTCTGTCTTTACTGAGTCTAAAGACAGCTAAAGACAGTGATGAAAGGAATTAAAAGATAGAGCGAGGTTCTATTTTTACGACCGACTTCGAAAAGCGTTTTCTGGACTGGAAAAAGCAGTGATACATATGTACTATGTCCGGCGGAGATTACGTCAAAGGGGATAACAGGGATTTGGATGATTGAGGCACGTGAGGTTTGTATAATTAGAAAATGTATTACTTTTTCCACGGCAGATTTTCGAAGTTTCGGCTTTCTGTCGCGGACTATATCGTTAACTATCTCCATAAGAGAAGTTCATTGGCGCTAAGTCTAGAAAATGGCAAGAATATTCTACGGGGCCGCTTCGTCCAACTTATCTGTTTCGAAAATTCTCATCAAGATACACTTTTACATCATGATGATAGTGTGCAGGTACGTTGCTCTGTCGGAAATGAAATTTATTTTCACCGAAGTTCTAATCATTCCGTTTAATTTGAACGTAGCTTCGTTGTTTTAAATAATTTTCTCCGAAACTGCGCATCCTCTTTATATTTTTCCAAGTACCACTCTAAAAATTGTCCAGACCATCGTATTTTTTTGGCCGCACCAAGGTTTGTTTACAAATATGTGAATAATTTACAAATGCCTCACTTTTATCCAATCAATTACCGCAAGTTACGACAGTGTATATATTTTTTTAAACATATATATATATATATATATATATATATGTGCCGTGGCATAGATCCGGTCAAGCACGAAGCTGAATTCTGCTATTTGCTGTTGTCCAGTTCTAGTGGCTCAAACCGTAGAATGGCCTTAGCTAACCGACATGATCTTGCTTAGCGTATAGCAGCATCTCTACCTATATCCAGCCGTACACGCGTATCTCGTTGGTGTCTTGGAAAGTGTTTCAATTGTGGTAAGTTGCACCGATACCAGGTTCGAACCCGGGCATAGACAGACAGACGTCGTTTCGCCTGTTTTATTGGGTCGCCTCTGTGATCGCTGTTATTGTTGTTGGGTAGCGTGCAGTTTCAAACGTTGCCAGGGAAAACTGTCGCGGACGTTGTTGTCAGTGCAACAACGACAATTAGTTATAAGCGCGTCTTTTTAAATGTCAAGCACGCGCGTGTGGTTCGGAGGGACTAGATTCGATGGCCGAATGCAACACCACATTCTAGCAAAAGTGTCGATGCATAAGAAACTGTTTACGTCGACCCAACCAATATTAACTGCGCTGTGCCTGTTCGGGTTAACCCAACTTCATAAGCCCAAAATTGGTTCGATATGACCAAGTGTATCTCTGGCGCCGACATCTGCGTTTGACTTATGCGTTGAGCTTTCAACAATAATGGCAGCCGACAGATCACAAGCTATGATGGCACTGGCAGTATTATGAAAACTTTTTTAGGTAGCCACTACAAGATATTGCTGATTAATAACTTCTTTAGTTAGTACGAGGATATAGCGATTGTGTGACTTGAAGATTATGGGATGGCCTCTGCAATGGTGACCCTATCAGGGCTGTTTGATTATAAATATATTGTTATAAAAAACAATTCAGTTACTGGTCGGAGGTGGGTTCCACGTTTGTAATTAGCGTATGTTTGAATATGTCCATGTTAAATATATGCATACCTACATAACAACACTACGATTTAACTAAGTTCACCAGGTGTGTAATTCTATTTCAGACTCAATATATTTTTTTTTTTGGATATGATTCAAATAAAAACATGTAGCCAGTAGGACAATAATTTTTCGCAGTCCTCTAACGAGTAGAAACGTTTTCGACTGTTTCATTTGTAGAAAATAGTAGTGTTTTGTTATTACTACTGTGAATGCTAAACTACGGGCAGTCGGTCACCGTATTTCCGTGATTTTCTATACTATGGGTAGTAATTAATTTAGCAACAGTTCATTGTGTCTACCAGATACTAATGATGATACGGGTGGCGTAGTGACTGACGCGCGTATTCCTAAGTGTGTCACATATGCGCTTATAGTTGACTTCAGCGGTTATGATGACAGGTGATTATCTGCCATTTGAAGATCTATTCAAGCTAGGCCTTCTAGTGAAGACAACATTCTCTTGGTATGCCGAAGAAATTATTCCAAGCATTTAATATGAAACGAAAACAGCCGGAGGCTTTAGCCAAAGAAATCGGTTGAAAATTACTGCCGCTTATACCGGGGCGATCAACTATTTGTTTGATTATTTCTGTCCTATGATGTTGTAATGAAAACGCCCCTCGCAATAAAAAAATGGCATACAGCTTTAGTGGGCTCATACTACCTGTTCGCTTCTTGCGTCTGTTGTGGGGTCAATGATAGCTAATAAATCGAATATCAGTCAAATAAAAACACTAAATGGGAAAACATGACCAGTACTAAAAACCAGCAGTGGTCTGTACGTGAGAGCTAATCAAGTAGACTGATGCGCGCTTTCCACAACAACTTACACAAATGAATGGCAACGAGTTTAGCAATAGCGCCCCACCACAATAGGCGGTTAGTTACGATATGAGTGCTCTTTTCGGAAACACCGTGACTATTTTTATGGAAAATTTTTTGTTCGTATCATGCATAAGTCTTGGCGGCAGAACATTGCTATTTGCTCAACCCTGAAGGCCACCTATCTTTAGGCCATATTTAGTATTGGTTACGCAGACACAAAGAAAAAGCAGCTTCACGATATAAATTTCCTCAAAAGCCAAATGCTCAGCTACCTCTTTATCACACAATAAATGAAGGACGATTTGTCCTGTCATGCTACACCTGATCAATAGAGTTCAAACAGTCGCACTATAGATAAGGGCGTATCAGAAGGGTCGTTACGATAAGTAGATAAAAATAACACCAAATTACAATGGATCGAAGCTTCTATTCTGCAATGCGGAAAACATCATAGTTTTGGCTAAAACACATATGCGATTCGGGGTTCATATCTGGAACATTTACTCGTTTCTGTTGTAGGTAGATATTGCCTGCATAAAGTATCCAGTTTTGCGAAAATTTCCTAGAGAAACGGTTCATACTGTCAAGAATCGCTGCTAAAGGCCAATAATGCGACGAGCAAAAGAAATCTCTATGAAACATATACGTATCAACACATATGTCACGAAAAGGTATATACTTGTCAAGATAGCACCGGAATGCCCGTACATTGCTGAGATGTAAATTTTTTTCAAGCATCGTTTTTGTAGGCACACGTCCGAAAGTAAACACCAGTAAAAATTATCCTAGGTGTCCGAGTTAAACCTCTGGGGTCGGGGGGGGGCACTGAGCAACTCGCGGCCAGGCAACACAACCGGCAGTACAGATTAAAAATTTAATCTCTGACTCAACTTTGATTATGTCGAGAGAAGAAGATTAACAGTGATAATGACGAGAGTAAAGGACTGAATTGATAACGTGCGCTATTTGATATGCATTAACAGTCAAGCCCAGCACAGAAGATAAACAAAAAAACCGCAAGTATGACTTCTTTAGAATCGAGGCACATGTAAGATGCATGTGAATGGTCTTACGCGATTGCATTTTCTCTTACTTTATGGCTTAACCGAGGGAGGTTTTATTATATTTGATATGACATCTAATTAGTATGGGCTAATCTTACCTAAGGGTTTTCTTACGCAAAGGTATTCTCCTATCTAGCCTACTAATGATAATATTATCGTGATAGTGGAACAGATGGGTCAAGGGAAATCGAATGAAAAACAAGCAGAGCGTCGATTATTTATTTCTATCCGTACGAGTGGCGAATATAAACGCTAAAAAAGGAAGCTAACGATTGTGCGTGCAGAGGTAGAAACATGAAGATTATCTTACGGAATATAAAACTAGACCAAACGAAGACATTCGAATTAAACATTTTAGCGTGCAGTTAGAAATCTTCCGTCACGGTGCAGCGTAAGAAGGCTACACGAAGATGCGTATATTTTGTGGTTATTTCCTTCGTTAATGTTTGGCCCTGGAATATAACAATTTTAGATTGTGTTGTCTTTATATGTGCGTGTTTTAGTTATTACTTTTTACGTAAGATATCGTATTTTACCCAGAACATTTTGTTGATGCCTTATCATAGGGCTTCTTTTTGAAATAATTTAAAATTAATTAAAAAAAGAAAACGAAATTTTCTTTAAAGATGTCCCTCTTCCTGACGATTATAGTACTTAAACTGTATAATTTTGATATGCGTATAATAGCTACTCCTACAGAAATAGTCCTGACGTGGCATTTTTGTTGGGATAGTCTAAAAACTACAATCTATTTTTCGAACTTCTGTTTTTAAGGTCAATAAGTCTCGGCATCTCTATTTTAGACTGGTACGAAGGTTTATATCACACCATGGGTCACCCTAAAGCGTTTTGGACAATAGGCCCAGCACGTGGCATCTTAATCGCACGTCAAGTACCATTCATGCCTATGTAATTTCGTTGAGAAATATATTTAACAGAATATTTTTATAGTCACGAGTAACAGTTACAACTAGCTATTCGATTATCTGTCCCATTTAACACTAGAACACACGAGAAGCAACTAGAACTTAGCGGAGCGGACTATTAGTTGAATGGTATTTTCTCTTCTTCCCTTTTTTTGCAGTGATGGATGCCATGGGCAAGCCATCATCGGGTCTTGCCTCAGGAACGATCGCCGATCTTGGCAACTATGACCAGTGTCTTGCAGTGGAAGCTCCAGATGGTGACCAGGACATCGATTTTACTGGTAAGTCGGGTGGTCAGATTTTACCCGTTGACCGCATGATGTTAAACTACGAAGGTGAGAGAAGTGACAAAAATTTCTGTTGTTATCCTGCAATGCTTAGAAAATAGATAGTCAATAGGGCACTAACTGAGGAATAGTACGAACTAAATCGTATTTTCGACAAGATAAGTTTTAGTTACGTTTTTTTCAATCGTAATAAAATGTTCGATAGAATTGGTTATGTGGTATCACTGAATAAATGAAGCTGCAATATTAACATCTTCACTTCTGGCTATATCAAAGGTTTTTGTACGATTTATCTTTCAAGTGAATGTTTTTTGAGTGATCCTTTCTTCTCTAGGCGTATATAAGGCTCTAGGTTTAGAGCCCCATTATAAGTTCCCTTAAGTGCCTTTAATTATATTCTTACTATTATTTGAACACCAAACTAACTATTTTTAACGTGTTTCATATAGACTTCATGTGGATGACTTAAAACTTTACGTGTTTAAAATCATGGTTAAAAATCTGGAGTTTTTGGTGTTGCCTCACTTTTATATTAGTTGACTCCTAATTGATTGTGTGCAATCGGAATTAACTTCATAAGATCATCGATTTAGCTTTGAAAACTTTTTTTTTTCTCATAAAACGGGTTGCATAACTTTATAAAATTACTTCACCACTTTTAAGTCGGGCACTTTCATCTCGGAAAGCAGATGGACGCTATGCGGCTATTTCAAGTTCTGTGTTTCAAGCCTTGATGCTGAATGTTAGACATAGAATTCAGGCAAGTATCCTCACCTCAAAAAATCTTCACATATTGAGAACTTGAACAGTATTACGAAGAAATTTTTAGGCACTTAAGTTGGAAGCCAGTGAAGTGGCGAATCTTTTATTTTCATCCAGCTATACAAAATGATCTCCTGTGAAAAAAATCGTCAGCTAACATCGTGGTCGTAATTATTAACTTTGTAACCTAGTTTTCTTAATGAACGCAAATTTGACCAACCTTATGAGCCGGTAATGTAAATCAAATGATGAGGTAAATCTGTTTAAGTAAAAGGAAAATACCTCCACTTGAGTAGAGCTCAAATCTAACACATATTATCCATAAATTAAATAGATTTGACCGGCAAACTCCAGTCCTTTCCAGTAATTGACTCTAAACTGTATCTTCGATAAGCGGTCTTGGTGCCACTGCATATGATTGCCTCAAAGATACGACATAACTGGATGGTCTAATGTGAGCAATCTGGAGATCATTAGGTTAGAATTGGTAATCCCGCTCCTGCCACATCACACATGCGTTATATAAATTTCTTTTAGGTCTTCGCATGGTCATTATTATTATTATGACGGATAAATATTACCACCTTTCACTAATAACAGGTGCACGACCGGCGGCTGACATTCAAGCAGAGTTGGACAGTGGCTCCACCTGTCGCCTTGAGGCTATACCATACCGTATGCCACCTATGTACGATTACGTGACGCCCTATACATTTTTAAGTTTCTTGTTCGTTTTCACTAATTTTCGTCGAAAACACCTTAATTGCTTTCAATGCGCGTCATCATCTTCTCTTACTAAAGTCCAGTATTAACAGTTAATTACATTTGACACGACTTAACCAAGCCTTCATTACTTCATTAAGCATCTGCATTTGGCTAAGAAAAAGGGAACGACGAAAAGTAAAAATAGGACGATCACGGCCTCATCTGGCTTCCATTTTGCTGTCAGTAATTAAATGGGGCGACCTTAAGCTATACATAAATTCATACAGCAGTGAACAAAATCTGCAGACCATAAGCAAAGGCGGACAGTACATTAAGCCTGCTGGGCACAGTTACGTGCATTAGAATTGATCTAGAAGTTGAGTGGTCACTAACAAAGTGTCTTTATAGAATTTCGATTACATAAACATGGCGTGTATCTTCAAAGTGAGCGGTTAATATCCGTCATTGGACATGTTTAATGTACACTTTAACATACAAAAACTGCTGAACGTATCGCTTCGGTGAGGATACTTTGCATAGCATTTCCTGTGGTGGGCCTTCTTGTTTCCCGCACTGTTGCTTCGACTATAGATGGTTTACGACTGGTCACGTTCACTATCGTGCCATTCTAACAAAGACGTTCGAAGTAGGCGAACTATACGGAGCTGCGATTTTCGTCGAAGGACGTATCATTAATTATTCGTTATTCATATGAAGTAAGGGGCAAAATGAATAAAAAAAAAAACAACAAAAAAAACAAAAGAGGTGTGAATGAATGAAATGTTCTGTATAGACAACTTTGAACCGGCTCTACGTAATTGACTAAAATGTTTTCATTGTGTATTTAGCAGATTATTTTCGATATCTTGTCATTTTTTTCGATCAGCGAAAATTCTGACTTGATAATATTATAACCAAGATGGTAGTACATATCCAGCAGTTGCTGCTATGTGGGCTTAGATGGTCTTATTAGGAAATCGTTGTAGACGCGTCGTGTGGCTCTCTAAATGTCAGAACACTTGAAATTAGCCCATGAACACGTAGTTCGGTTCGGTTCGGTAGCTCTTTTATTCGATAAGCAGCAGAGTTATTGCTCATTAGGAATAAGCTCTATTGAATTCAGTGTTTGAACAACTTCCCGAACGTTAGATTTTCGCATTTAATTTAAAATATCTAAATAGATTTACGGTCTAGGCCGGAGTAGACAAATCTCGAACTATATGTTGAATTACATGTAATGAATATAGATTTAGTTGTAACTTTTTCGTCATCGATGGCGCATCCTTTTTCCGGTTGTTTTGCCCCTGTCTCTAAAACACTGTAAATTGCGGATCTGACATATAAGCGTTACGCATGTATAGTACGATACCTACAATGAAATACAGTGATAGGAAGTGATAATTTCAATTGCTCCTTTCTGCATCGTCTATTTGGGAAGGTTTGACGCGGACGAATGAAAAATGATTACCTACCCATTTACGGCAGATAGCCTGTAACACAGAACCACTTTGACAGTTTGGTCTGCTGTAGTTCGCTCTATTTTTCGCATGACGTGCAGCGCTCGCGTGCCCTTGGGACTCGGTCGTGCCGAGTAGATTTCGCGCGTCGCATCTTTGGTGACGTAGTCAGCAAATATCGAAGTGGCTCAACGTCTGCACGCTATAAAAAAGTGATCATACAGAAAGTGTTTGTGCATATGTCCAGCCATGAAAATTGTGACCAAACAGCAGACATGAAAACATAGCGTTCTTGTCCGTCAAGTAAAAGCTAGCTCAAAGGCATCGTGTACAATATTTGAACATATATCATAATGCTTATGTGCGTGTGCTAATGTAATTTGTGGCGCTGCTTCTGTACGCGATAGGGACTTTGAAGCATTTCTGTGAGGCGTACCTAAGTGACCTTTAACACCGTCATAGATTACAATTTTTTTTGTTTTTGTTATTACTAATATGGCGATTAATGTCTCTAGCGTATATGATTGAAACTATTTCGAGCTGGACACAAGTTAATGTTTACGTTATCGTTCTTTGATTGTTTAGCATTTTACCGCATTTATGTCGTTCCTCTTGGACATACCCTATTATTCGGCATGTATATATATATATATATATATATATATATATATATATATATATATATATATATATAAACAGTTACAAAAAGCGTAGGGAATTATGGTTTATGTTTAGTACGTTCACGACAAAGGGTGATTACGGTCATAAATTCACCGCTATTCCTAAGAGGGGGTAATATTTGAGCGTTATTGTAGTATATGGCATGTCGCCATCAAGTCAATATTAAATAAGCTCGTATGATTGTAGGAACCTTAAATATTCAGCTCAAGTAATGCCCAGTACTATATGTAAAAAAAAAATCTCCACGGTCGCTTACACAGCAAGAATATCATATGGAACAAGATGTAATGTAGAGATCATAGTTTAAAATAACTATTCAGACCTCCTGCTGTGGTATTAATTTGTCTTCTCCGTAGAAAGGCAGTTTGCATCATATAAAAGCATCAAAGTTGTGCTAATATCTGATAGGTCGCACTACTTTTTGAATATCCAGGCTTAGTTAACTTTTATATTGTAGACGCCGTGATGTTTCTATGGGATAACAAAGGCGATAGATTGTATGAAAGTTACTCACTAGAGCTGTGACTTTACCCGTTCGCATTTTGAAGCAAGTTCAAAATATTGCCTCAAATAAAATGTAGGATTGCATATTCGATCCGTTCAAAACCTATCGTGTTATTGCTTGGTAAAATAGCTCGAAAAATAGCGATTTCTCACCCCTCGAGCGCCTAAAGAAGTCAAATGACAAACTGGGAGATAATTTATTATACTATAAGCACGAAATAAATCATGTCCGCGCCCTGTTTCGAGCTTGAGCCACCTTAGGCTTAGCACATAGTAAGCAAACACGTCACCATTGCATCATCACCAAGACATATATATCAGCATTCGTGCCGAAGCCTGCATAAAACCTTTTATAAACACAGTTACTATGTACGTACTAACTATCCAAAGATAGAACCGGATCAGTGGAGCAATGGCAGCAAATAACCAAAAACGCTCGTTAATTGCTGAGAGGCGACCTCGAAACTAGATTACCGTATTAGAAAATTCTACAGCACATACCACAGTTCTAACTTACCCACTACTAAAATCGTTTCCTTAGATAGTTTTTAAAATAGAACTTATTTCACGCGTCCGCTATGGCATCAAGATTTATTAGTTCGTACGGAAGGGGTTTCATGCTGTATAGTGTAAAGACAGGTACACCTAATTAATCAAGAACTTTTCAGTAAGGCGCTCGTCTTAAAAGCCGCATGCGATCCGTTAGCGGCATACGCCTAGAGCTTTTGAACTGCCAGAACTTACGAAACATCATTTGTTGTTATGTTGCACTTGGAAACAGTCCGCTCGTGCAGTACTGAGCGATACAGATAATAGACATAGAATACAAATGGGCCTACCCTATTTTTAAGCCTTAGCCCAGATTTAATGTAAGGGGAGCATACC